AAAAACGTGGGTCGGGCTGTACGTTCACCATCAAATTTCCAAAATTCGTGTGTTGTGTGCTTTTCGCTTTAATCATAAATCTGCCCGACCCACGTTTTTTGGGGCGAGCCATAATTTATTTTCTACTTTTTAGTCCACAAAAAATACGTGGTTTTCTAAAAAGTTTTTTTTTAAGTATTTTATTCGATTTAGCCACCGCTTTCGATTCCACACTCGTTAACGTTATCTATTAGGCAAGGGAAATAAGGTTAGTTCCACATACATTACTTGGCCTTAAGGCAGAGTGCAGAAACATGGAGAGAAGGAACGTCCATTATTCATGAGGTCGTTGAAGCAAATTGCAATTTTGTGAGTTAGAACAATGTACATCAATAATAAATATTGTGACTACGCATGCACAATATTTCCAGCATGAATAAAATCCTACAATTTAAACATTGCAGCGTATCATAAAACTTAAGAAATGAATTTTCTTGATACGAATGAAAAATTTTGAATAATCGACTCACGGAAAGTTGTGAAAACTTCAAAGTTCTTACAAAAAAGTTTTGCGTTCCAAACTTGAAATAAAGTGATGCTAGAAAATGTGATGTGAACAAAATAAATTGAACAAAAGAGAAGGAAGTTTGCAGAGTCGCAGGTCTAGAGTCGAAATTTCCGGAATGCAAATTTCACCGTAAATAAATTGCTCAGTTGAATTTCTAATTAGAAATCTGTTAATAAAGTAAATCGCAAATGAGTAGAATTCTTTTCAAGTCGACAACTTGGACACAGAAGGGAACTCTCCCTTTACACCCAGCATGGTACCCACACACCCTTATGACCTTATGATGAGTTCAGGACGTCTCAGTCCACGGTCACGCTGATGCGCCGCCTTCGTCGTCCTCCGTCTCCGAGTCGTCGTCGGATGTAACGTTGGACCACACACCCATTACACCCAGCCTGTATCCGCATTTATCGGTCGTGAAACTAAGTATCAATATAATGACTGACCAGTCTCGCCTCCACCGTGACCTACGATGAGTAAACACTATAACTAGTGCAATACTAACGTCTAGTCTAACTAATTACTAGAGTACAAGTAAAATATTCTAGAAGATAGGCAGACCTAGACTCTAGAAGCTATTATGTATATAATTAAAATAACCAACGGCTATACCTTGCCGGTTTCGACCAGAACTTTCACAGCTAGTTATGGGATTCGAGACCGCAACTAGCTGCTCCAATCGTGGTGAATAGAAGCTGAATGCAACCATGGACTGCAGTTAATTTATACAGAATATGTACACAAATTTTGTTAAGAATGAATAATGAAGAAATGATTCGGTGATTCAGTCGAAGAATGATACGCGATGCATGTGGTAAAATAACTCCATTGATTCCATGGATAAAAAATGATCCGAAGAATTCAGCGAATATTTAAGAAAGCAACAATATTTCCTAACAATACTCGCTGAAATGAGAGTGACTTGTTCAATAGCGAGTGTGTCACTATTTGGACAATGTGACCCATTTAATTTACTGAGTGAAGGTGTAGGCGAAAGGTAATGAGAAAAACATGCAATATTTTCCAGACAATGAATAATATGGACAAGGCAAGAAAATACACTCAAAAACGAGAGACAAGAGTTCCAAATTGCAACAGACCATCCTGGTATATAACAGCCGCAGCAGCAGGCACTTTGTTGTCAGTTTGCTTTCTTGTCTTCCCAAGCTTCTCACAAAACAAGTTCTTCATTAGACCTGGAAATCAAATCAAATCATCTAAACTGCTATAAGATAATAATAAAAAACTGAAAAAGACTTATTTGACCATAACTTGAAATTTTTTCATCTACTCACAATTTAAATAAAAATGTAAATATGGCAATTAAATACATTGAAAATTTTTAAATAATTTCATATAAATTTGAAAAATAACTCGATTATTTGAGTTATTTTCAATTCAACGCTAAGTTATTTTCAATTCACAATTTCTCTGCTAAAAGATCATGTTTTACATTCAAAGAAATTCAAAATGATTTAATTTAGGGCTTTATTTTCATTTACCAAGGAGTTTCAAAGTCAGAGAACTTGGAGATGTCTTCTTCACATTTTTAATGTGACAAACTTGTAAGAATAATTATTTGGGCAAACAAGAGATCTTTTAGAAACCAGTGAATATTGAAACTTGATTTCCCTTACTGCTTTGAAATTTTAACATTATCTTTATACATATGATAATTCCGGTCTCTATCCAAAAGTAAAAAAAGTATCTGGTTATTGGTATAAAGTCAAAAATGGAGATGCTATAAAATTAGAAAGTCAGCTTAGCCCCATCATACCATGTTTGGCACATTACAGTCCCAATTTAAACAAAAAACAGGTTGAGTTTAATTGTATTAAGGATTTTTTTTTATTCACTAGGATTGAAGTATTTATAAACTATTAGTACCAAATTCAATCACATTCACCCTTGGCATATGCATTGGAAATATAAATACACATCTCTTCAATGCACTCAATTACATTTCTCTATTGGTAGTGACACACTGACACTGGTCACTCCCAGTTAAAATTTAGGGCAGGGAATAGAGCAGGCCGTCGCCGGCTGCAGAGCCGGCGTAGAGACGCGACAGAGCAGCGATAGAGCAGAAATGTCC